CGAGATACATATCCCCACTACCCCAAACATGGCTGTGCAGACACCAGCACTCAGCGGGCTTTAAGGTAATTCAACACTGAGAATCCAGCCAGCTGCCCCCAAATCAAAAGAAATGAAATGTCTTACAACAGGATCCTAACTCAATTTTAAGATGCAAAAAAAAGACTAGATTTTTATTGAGATAGTAACCACCATAGCCTAGGCCGGCCTCAAACTTGCAGCAATCCTCCTGCTCTAACCCTTCCAAATTTTGGAATTTCAAGCCCACGTTACCACGCCCTGCTGGGGAGACTTCTAATATAAGTGGGAAACAATGTTCAGACCAATTAAAGCTGTTCCACATTTAAGACATCCCAAGTCATCTTCCTACCCGTACCTAGCATTCAATTGTTATGGGTCACTAAGTCAGGCCCTAAAATAAACAGAAAGGCTTTCCAGCTCAATTCATAAGCCAATCAAAGTCATGGGCTGGCTCTTCATGGGGATCTACCACGACACCTATGTGCAGCTCTTATTGCGAAAAGGGAACTCTCAAATGCTTGCTCATGGCTTTTTTGTAGGAAAGAGGCAAGTTTTCCCGCGGCCAAACAAGAAACAGTGCTGCTGCTGAGCTCAATTTCACAATCTACTCCAAACTTTGAATCTCAAATCAACACTGAGACTTTAAACAGGGCATGCATACCAAACTCACTCAACACTTTACATCTCAGCTCTTCTGGTTTCTTTTTAGAGACAGGGTTTCACTAGGGAGCTCTGGCTATCCTGGAACTCACTATGTAGACCAGGCTGGCCTCGAACTCAGAGATCCACCTGCCTCTACCTCCCGGGTGCTGGGATGGAAGGCGTGCGCTACCACTGCCTCGCTTTTTTATCCCATTTTAAACCTTGGTTTTCCAGTGGATAATTCTGGTATGACACTTTTTAAAAAAGCCGAAATAGCTGAGGATATAGGTCATTGGTAGAGCATCTGCCTACTTCAGTGCAAGACCCTGGTTCAAGCTCCAGTAGCACAATATAAACAGTGGAATACACAAAGGAACCAGTCACAACTTAAAACCTCCAAACATTTTTTCAAGATAAAACTATAAAATAAGGCATTACAAGTTTTTATAAAAACCACTTAAAACCATTGTTATAATGTATTATGCCTTTCTACAGTATACTTGTAAATTGCTTTTCTGGTGAATAGGAAATGTGGATTGACTCTTTTTTTTATCTTAATTCTTAAATTCTCTGCATATTCACTTGGTCATACATAACAAGACTTTTGACTAGCCTGGCAAAAATAAGTTACTTAAATCCTTACCAGCCAATGGAAGCTGTGCCACTGAGTTACTAAAGAGCAGATTTAATATATAAACACAAAGGTGAGCCATCTTTTTCCTAGGTTGGGAATGTAAACAGAAGTTCACCACAGATGTCTGTGTAGAGTTATTTATTAATTGTTCCACAATAGTACTAAAGTTCAAAACAAACCAAAGTACCACAATTAGTCTGAACCGAAAGAATGACAAAGAACGAATTTCCAAAGATCCCCTTTGCCCTCTGGATCAACTGCCTACTAAAACTGTGCTAACATTTCCATTTCCCTTGCTCCTTCCAAACTTGTTCCTTTTCCTCTAGACTTTAAGAACTGTCCCTTAATACTCAACCCCTACCCATTCTTCTCTTACTCTCTAAAAACACAGAAAAAAAAACCTCACAAATCTTCTCCCTGGGTGTATAAGGTTTAAATCATCAACTTTCCCTTAGTTATATTTCCCAAGAATGACCCATTTCAAAATATAGCATATAAAAAATATTTTCATGTCTTATCTCGCACAGTACACCTCAGCCCAGCTAGTCACACGTGGGCTGAGTATAATCTTACTCCTGATCCATACATAAAAAGGCATGGGCAGGTGTGTTTGCCTGCATATCTGCCAGCACATACCCAGAACCTGCTTTTGAACTGCTAAGAACTTCCAGAATTGGCTAATGATTATATTGTTACCATTTCTGTTGGTAGAAACACTGTCAAAGCCCAAGCACCCGCAAGGTGAGAAAGGGTGCAAAGAACTCCAAGTTCTACACGCGTGCTCTTTGACTGGCACAGCAAACAACTTCAAGGCCTTATAGAACCTCAGTGTTTCCCACAGACGGTGAGGAAATGAGCTGCAGATGAAGAAATTTAGAACTGGATACATTTCAGGCATTAATCTTTTATTTGTACAATAAAATTTCAGAATATAGGCATCTTCTAAGGAAGGAATTCTTAATAGGTGTCCATATGTAAGATGTAAGATATGTGCTTGTTGACTGACTAGCAAACTATTACGTGTAGATGTACTTCCACTAATGTGCAGTCAGGGAGGCACTGAGTCTACCAAGTGCCCAATCTGTGAACCCCAAACTCTTAGACAGTATTTCACTGCATAAGCTAGAAAGTTAGTAATTTAGAATCCTTCCAGGCCAGCCTAGTCTACGGAGTTCCGGGCCAGCCAGGGCTACACAGAGAAACCCTGTCTCAAAAGACAAAACAAAAATTAGAACCTACGCCAGCCAGTCACACTTAAATATATTTTGAAGCAAAACAAAAAGCAAAGCAGAATTTTAAAAGTATATGATCTCATAAAGGCAATGTCTTGATTAAAACTAAGTAGTCTCAAATTCTCTATTTTTTTTTAAATCAAGGGTAAGACAACAGAATCCCAAGGCGCTATCTTTAATGCTGTGCATTCCAAGTAATAAATTAAGGACATAAAAAAAATAACATAATTCCCCTAAAACTCCATCAGGAACTCTAGCATCTCTGAGGGCACAAGCAGATAATCAGCTGCCCAGATCCTGACACCCAGACAGCAGCTCCAGCAGCTAGGGACCCATCTCAGCACAGTCCTGCCCTGTGTCCTGAGAACTAGCTTGAGTTGGTCTATATCTGCCGAGACCATGAAGACCACGAAACGCAGAAAATGACAGCCTTTGGAATGTTTTACTCTAAAAATAGTTTGTAGTTAAGATTTCTTTTTCCCCTTCTCTCTTCAGGGAAGTTCTGCTCAACAAGAACCTATGAGTTTAGAGGCTAAGGTTTATACATGAGGTTAGCAACTCAAATAGTCACCCAGTCAGGCTTAAACGTCACTAAACCTAATTATAAAATGCTGATTATCAGGGATGAAAACAATATTAAAGTGGACAAGAACATCTAATAAGTTAGTGCAATACATGAAATCTGAGGTAGGTATTTGTATGTTTGCAATACTTAAAAATTTAAGCATATTCTGTTCTCATAAAATTACCTCAAATTACTGATCAGTAACTGCTGAAGAGCAGTCCCCACTGTATATGTATCTCAACAGAAACCCACCGCAGTGCTTACCACCTCACACCTAATGCCTCTCGAGACAAGGTCTCACGTAGCTCAGGCTGGCCTCAGACCTCATCAGGTAGCCAGAGATGACCCTTAACTTCTTATCCATCTGCCTCCACCTCCCCAGTGCTCATCAGGCAGAGCTGGCGAACTCGGTTTGAGGGATAGAACCCAGAGGCCTTGTGCATGCTGGGAAGAACTCTATCATCTGAACTACCTATATTCCTAGCCATACATGGTCTCATGCCTTAAAAACAAAAGCCGTTGATTAAAATGATAATATCTGTATATATTCCATAAAAGGAAAACAAAAAGGCAGGTAAGCGGGTTTTAAAATTCTTATCTGTTTGAGCAAAAACAAGCTCTTCAGGGAATCAAGTAACTGCAGTCATCTTAGATTGAGTGAAACTTCCTTCTGTTTAGTACTTGACTCCAAGAAACAGTGTGGGAGTAACTATGGCAAAACAAACTATCCTGCCTTCTAATAGCAAAGGTCCATGCTTACCTTTACTATGATATGATATGATACGATACTTATGTATCATCACACACATACGCAGCCTCAGAGCATTCTACTCCCATTCAGTATGCTCACTCCTAGTCCGTCGATATCCATGCCACTAAACCTACAGTTTTCTAAACACCTCAAAAGACGTGCAACTTTTTCTTTTAGACAAGGTCCCATTGTGGCCCTGGCTGGCCTGAAACTGTTTGTAGACCAGTCTGGTTGTGACTGCCTCTGCCTCCCCAGTGCTGAAACTAAGGGCATGGTCACCATAGTCAGTTTCTTTTATCATTTAAAGTTAGTATTTATTTCAAATACCTTTACTGCATCTTCTATATTACAATTTCACCTTTTCCTTCTAATACCTACGCTCTCAATTTCTTAACATGTTAGCTGCAATTTATCTTTTTTCTTACTAAAAATGCTCAAGACCATTTTAATCCATCATTCTGTAATTTTATTATAACCCTTTGAGGCAAAAGGATATATATCACCTTGAGCCAAAATATTGCGTTATGATTTTAAATAAAGCCTCAATAAATATCTCCCTAGGATAATATTTAGGATGGTTAAACTAGTACTAATTTACATATTAGATTTCTATTCCTTATATTATTGTGCACCTCAAACAAAATAGTCAATGCATTTTCATATAAACCTAGAAAGACAAAATACATTAAAAATACAATAAAAATGCAAGCTCCTAACTTACAATTTATACCATTAATGTGACTAGTTTATGAAATGTAATCCACAGAAAACTGGAAAATATGACTAAGTGATATCTCCTTTCTTCAATTTTGTGATTAACAGGACTTTTATTGGTAGTAAACTAGAGCAAACAATCAGAATAATACATATGTAGTATTCAGTACACACAATAAAAGTTAAAGAAATTCAAAACCTGTATAAAACAAAAGCGAGCGAGAGAGAAATCATACAGCTTAAGAGATACAGGGTAAAGGTCTCGCCATCCTTTGATCACACTTGTCTCTGTACCCAATACAACTTACTGCACTGAGTAAGACGTACAGACATTTTAGTACTGAGTGTATTAAAAGAATTAAACACATTTTCTAAGAATCTTTCAATGACAAGTTGGTACCCTTTAGCTAACTAAAGCCAAAGGAAGGTGGGAAAAGGGAATTAACTAGTATTTTGTAACCATTTTTAATAATTTCTTATTTTCAAAACACTGCTTTTATAACAGAAGTGTTTTACACTTGCACAATATTAATTACTTTATTATACACGGAAGCCTGTGGTAGGCTGATTACACAAGAAGACTGCAAACAACCAGTGGTACTTTTCTGACGTCAGAAGAGTTCATAAGACTGAAACATCACCAAAAGTACATAAAAAACTCATCAGCATAAACATCAAAGTACATTAAAAAATATAATCAGGAAAAAAATACAATTGCTAAAAAGTGGTTTAGAGCAGAGCCACTGCCTATCAGTAGCTTCAAATGGCAATTAGCGTTCATAGCAAGTTCTGATGACTTTACAAGATCCCTGTACAATACTGACTAATACACCCCTTCAAAATGTACATTAAAGGCTGCAATTTCACAAAGAGTTCTGATGTCACTAGTAAATATATACTCTTATCTGTTACACAAGCTATGCTACCAGGTGGAATTACAACCCTTAAATATCTATAGCTTGTACATGGAAATCTGTATTGGGCTTGTTTTTTTTAAAAAAAGGTGAATAAACTAAATACTATTATTTAGTATTTAGATGCCATAAGACATATAAAATGCATAATCAATCATCTACTAGATGACAAATCACTCTAAAATTGAAACCATCACGACAGGGAGAAGGAACAAGAAGGCCTAGAACTTTAAGAGGAAGTTAAGAATAAGTACCAAAAAAAACAGAAGTGAAGGTGGTACGTAATAGCACAAGTGAGAGAATGCTTTTAGGCCATGTATAATGAATAATGCATACCCCTAATTTCAATGTATTACGTGAATCCAACTTACTTTCTAATACTGAAACCAACCAACCACTTGGGTTTTAACACTGTACTAGACATTAACAGAATCACTTAATGGAATTACAGCCTTGTTATAGTTGGATAAGGAGGGTGCTTCCCTCCCTCTTTCTTTTATTAAAGCTATCATTCCAGGCTTTGATCAAAGATCCAAGAATATTTGCTCTACCAAGCTGGAATGAACATGGGTTTGGAAGTTTGGAGTACATTTAAAAGCTGCAACAAAATATAGGTAGCCAACAATCTCAGAATTTTGGATCAGCCCAGACAGAGATAGCATTTGAAATGTTTTCGATCCCTTACTTAAATGATGAAATGTATATTCTATCAGCCCAGAAGGAGCAATCTGAAATGTTTAAGATCCCTTAACTTAAACAGTGAAATGTGTATCATACTATTTGTAAATTGGATATTCCATTACGGTGATAACGTACAGAATTCCCATGCGTTATTACACTTTCCTGAGAGTAAAGCAATTAGAATAACCTTAATCCTAGCAACAAAGTTTTTTTTTTCTTTTTTCTTTTCTTTTTTTTTTTTCCTGTAGTTTTTGTTTTTTTGTTTTTTTTGCATTTAAAACTTTTGGGCTATTCCCTGACAATCTATACATGTAAATTTGATTGCTAAACATTGTCACTTTGAATGTCAAACTATTTTTAATCTATTGATTTTGATTAAAAATCATAATACAAACAGCTAAAATCACACTAACAAAATAAACTAAATATGAAAAGTTGCATTGAAAGGGCATTACATTATTCTTAATAGGATCGTGTAGAAACATTCCAATGGCAGTGTTCTCAAAATAAAACAAAATTACATTAGAAGACTCCCAGCCTGGTCACTCTTGAGACCTTACCTGTAACTCTGGCTGGTGGGTGTCTTTACTCTTGTACTACATGGCTCACTTACATCAGACATCATATTTGTATACCCTGAGAAATCTGACACTGAAGTCCTTACTCTATGGTCCACTTCTCCATTAGAGTTAGTGATAAAGGTCATTGGCACCCTGCTGCCCGACTTAAACTGAGAACCAAATGCTTGTGCAAAGTTCTCAATCTGGTACGTTGTTCTAGGCTCTATGTCTTTCTGAGGATCGATCTGGCTAGCTAACTCCTGAGATGGAATCTGAAAGCTTGTTGAGGACTCTAAATTTTTCTGTTGTTCCTTCTGGCTAGACAATTTCTGAGATGTGGACTGGAAGGCTGATGATGTCTCTAAGTTCTTCTGAGAATCTATCAGATCATCCAGCTCCTGGGAAGGTGTCAACTGCTGATGTGTAGCATCCAAAGCAGATAAATAAAGACCTGGTTGAGATCCAAACAACATCCCAAAAGGAGGCTTTGGCAATGAAGATGGCAACACTGAGGTAACAGATTGGCCAAAACCACACTCCAAAGGAGATGTAGTGTATATCTGTTTTTCTGGAAACAAAGTGTGGTTGTGGAGAGGTGAAGACAAACTGACAAACTGGAAACCGTGTCCAAGAGTAAAACTTGCGTTAGTGGATTTTTCAAAAGCCTGTTGGAGGTATTTGGAGTATTCTTGTAACATGCTTGTTTTATCATTTGAAGGTGTTTGGGTGCCTGGGCTCAGATTTTCTTCTTGAACCAATTCTGAGTGTTCTGAGGTGTGTAAATCCACTCGTGGCTCTGTTAAACTGAAGGGATCCTCCTTCTGCGTTTCTGATTTGCTGGAATACTGATCCAAAATACTTTGTAAAACCTCGTCAGGAATTCCAGACTTGTCATGACAAGACTTAATTTCAGCATTTAGAGCTGAGGAGTCAATAAGTGACAATGGGGCCTCATTGTCCAAAACACTGACACCTGCAGACTGAATGACTGACTGTTGGGAGACCATGTGTCCTACGTTTATAGAAAAGGCACTGTTGCTGCTGGCAGTTGGTAAGTATCTTCTCTTCTTTGAAAACTGCATGGCATCATCATAATTACTACTTATCTGACCTTGTTTGCCACTTGTACTCTGGAGAAGACCAATGGTCTCCACACTATTATTCGAGACTATGCCAAGTGAGCCACTTGGTTTACCAGACAAGGATTTCTGCCCAACTACATCTGGTAGTGGAGACACAAAATTAAGGTAGCTTTTATCTGTATTCTTTCTGCTTCCTTTCTTAAAGATCAATTTTGGCACCCTTTTCTGTAGTTCATCTATTCCCGTGCCAATTATGCCTCCACTGGTAGACACCGTGGGCATTTCTACTGAATAACTCTGCATGTTTATATTGTTTGACATTTGTGAGTCATTTGTTTTGCCAGTCTTGTGTTCCTTATTTTCAATAGCTATGCTTTTTGACTTCGATTTTCTCCTTGAAGAACTTGTATTTCCCTGAGACAGCACAGCCAGACTACCCATATTACTATGGTTGGATGACCCAGGATCTGCACTAGCGGCCCCTTTTGCTATGGCTTCACCACACGTGCGCCTGTGCTTCAGCAATCTGTCAGTCCTTGAAAAATACTGTTGGCAAGTGTCACACTTATATGGCTTTTCTCCACTATGTGTCCTCTTGTGTCTCTCCATATGGTACTTCTGAATAAACTTCATGCTGCACTGATCACATCCAAAGGGTTTCTCTCTACTGTGAATTTTCTCGTGTCTCTGCAGTAGGTATTTCTGAATGAAACCCATACTACACTGGCTGCACTGGAAAGGCCTTTCTCCCGTGTGAATGAGGACGTGTCTCCGCAGGTGATAGGAGCTCCGGAAAGCAGCGCTACAGTGATCACAGATATGAGGTTTCTGACTTGGGGAGAGGACGGCACCTTCTCCATCTCCAACCAACGGTTTGGAAGATGCACTTGGCTTCCTCTTGGCTTTGATTCCCTGAGATTCTGGCTTTGGCCTCTTTGCCTTTTTGACGTTAGTGTCCTGCTTTGGCTCCTCGGTGCCATGGTCATCAGTCCTGCTACCGCTGCTCAATAATACATCACGGTGGTGCTGGGCTGGTTGCTGCTGGACATGCTGGTGGAGAATACTGAGGTCTTGGATGACGCCGTGGCTCCCCCCTTCCCCGCCTCCTAGGCCCGGTGATCTCTCTTCGGCCCCAGCGAACAGCCCCCCATAGTGGTGATGGTGGTGGTGGTGGTGGGACTGCTGCTCCTCGGGGTCCGCGGGTTTCTCCTGTTTGATGCTCACCAAGGACTGCAAGAATCCCCAGGAGGTCCTCTGCGAAGGGAAGGCCGCGGATGACGCCGCCGGCTCCTTCTTGAAAGTCATGTCCGGGGCTGGCGGAGGGGGGGGCTCTGCGGCCGGGGCTGCGGAGGTAGAGGAGGATAACACGCACTGCGGGGGAGGGGCGGCCGTCCCCGCCGGCCGGGTGAAGCTGGTGACCGGGGGGAGCCGGTGGTTGAACATAACCATACCCTGGGGAAAGGTGTGCTCCATCTCTGCTCTCCTGCCGCTGCCGCCGCCGGAGCTGCCGCCGGAGCCGCTACCACCGCTACTGCCGGGACCGCCGCCGCCGCTGAGGAACCCGCTGCCGATTTTCATACCCCGGAGGAGGCCTGGCTGCGGAGAGGAGGGAGAGGAGGGAAGAGGGGGAACGGCGGTAGGGCCGGGCCCCGGGCCGGGACCACCGCAGCGTTTGGGACCCGCCGCGCCGCCGCCCAGCCCGCACCGCGCCCGGAGCCCGTCCGCAGCCCCGCTGCCTCCGGCTCGGCACGCTCAGCCCCGCGACCTTCCTAGCCGCCCCCGCGCCCGGCCCGGCCCGCCGGCCACACTTACGGGTTCCGCCACCGCCGCAGCCGCCGTCGCCTCCAGTTAATAAAAATAACGCCGTCCTCTCCACAATGGAATTAAAAGCCTCCCCGCTTCTGCGCAGCCGCGGCGCGGTGTCTGCCGGGAACTCCTCGACCGGACCAGAGGGGAGCTCTACGGGCTCAGTGCGCCTGCGCCGCAGTTTCCGCCTGGCCGGCCTGTCAATCAAGGGGGCGGTTGGGCGGAGCTGCTGGGGGCTGGGCGGGAGGGGCGGGGACTTAGAGCCCGACGACGGAGGGGCTTCCGCAGCGGGGGGACGTGATTGGTGGCTGCGTCGAGGGGCAGAAAGTGGCTGAGGGTTTCTGGGGGAAAAGACGCTCTGGAGGTGGAACCCGAGGGGCGGGAAGTCGGGGGACGCCTGGTGAGCGTGTTGCAGCGTGGCGTGGGAGCCGCAGAGAAAGGGGTTTGCAGAAGGTGGAGAAACTGAGGACTGAACTTTGGCGTTTTCTTCCCTTAAGGGTTTGCTATCTAGGTACTGAGTCAAAAATCAAACCTAGAAAAGGAGCCCTTGAGGCACACGTGATTCTGTCTGAAAGCATTATCCTCGTGATAGCATTGATTACAGATACCTGTTACTCCTTCCTATCAAATGGGGCGGTAATAACGCGAGCCCTTGCCTCTACTGGGGAGGAGCCTTTGAGGTACCGTTGAAAAAAATTGTCTCACTGCCAACCTACCTGAAGGCTATACAGCAAAGGGAAACCACGTGTAATCCCAGGTGCGGCCATCCTGTAAAACACGCCCACGCATACTTCATCAGCAGGTGGTATTTAAATGCCATATACTTTCCCAGTCATCTGAGTTTGCTTGCCGCGTTAGTTGCTCTCTAGCCTCATTTGAAAATTTTGACCATCGTTATTTTCTAAGCTCTCTGCTAGGATACATACCCCACCCTCCCGACCCTTTCAGTACAGAATGCCGTGAGGCTCATAAAATTATTCATTTGGGGAAATTATTCAACTGGGCAAAATTAGGTAAAAGCTTGAAATTAAAGTTCAATAAGCCTGGCGGCGGTGGGGCACACCATTAATCTCAGCAGTCGGGAGGCAGAGTCAGGCAGTTCTCTGAAGTCAAGGCCAGTCTGGTCTACTAGGCGAATCCAGGACAGCCAGAGCTGTTACACAGAGAAACCCTGGCTAGAAAAATCAAAACAAAAAAAGTTCTACCAACAAAACCAAATAATTACTTATTAGTGCTTAATAATGTATAAAAAGCACTCACTTTCACAGTGCCCAAGCATCTACACCAGCATCTTTCCTGGGAGTATTTATACATCCCTGACATTCTTGTAACTTTTTTTTTTTTTTTTGAGACAGTGTTTCTCTGTAGCTTTGGAGCCTGTTCTGGAACACATTCTGTAGACCAGGCTGGCCTCAAACTCACAGGGTTCCACTTGCTTCTGCCTCCCAAGTGCTATATTTAAAGGCGTGCACCACCACCACTACCTGGTTGTGTGTTTTTTTTAAAGAAAAACCAAAAAAAAAAAAAAAAAAGAAATTACATGTCTGTTTTTTCATGGTGTTTTGCTAAATGACTTCTTGTAATTAAATATCTTCTCTGAGAAATTTCACAATTAAAACCATAAGGACTGTTACTTACTAACACAGGCCTCTCTGAGTCTGCCCGGAAAAGTTAAGGACTATTTTATGGGTTGTTTGATGAGGCATTGTACCTTTCTAACCCCATGCAACTGCATTTAAGGATTTCCCCAAACTGTCAAGTATAACTAAGTATTAACCACTGAAAATTCAAAAACTTCAGGCAGTAATAAACTATCAGTCAGTGCCAGTGAGAAATGAGGCTGTCCCTTTATTCAGGGTGCTAGTGTTTTTAATAGTAAGCTGGGATGCATATAAGCTAGTCCAAGCATGAAGGGCAGCAGGACACTCAGATGAAAAGCCAGCTTTGTCCCTCCGTTATCAAGATAAGAAACCTGTCATTTCTCTCATTCACTCTGTCAGCCTTGAGCTACTCCTAGCAGACTTACCTCTGGGTTGTACACCCCATCTATCAAGAAGATGAAAAGACCCTGTAAAACAAAATGGAGGGGGAAAGCTGTTAGCGCTAATCATTCCAGCAGTAGAAATGCCTGAAATAAACTTTCCTGAGAACAGACCAAAGAAGACACACTTCATCAAGGGCGATTTAGTTTCCCGTTTTTCACCATTAGAAGCTGCACCTTGAGCATTTATATGACAGCACACCAGCACATTGCTTACACTGGTTGTGCTCGTCAATTCTTTAGAGACAGAAAATAAAAAGAGCATCCAACTACATAGAACTGTCATTTGGAAAATCAGTATATCAGTTTCTGGAAGGTAGCCGGGTGATAAAAAAAAATTAAAGTCAGGATATTATCAAAGTCAAATCAGAACTAGCACTAGACATTAATATTTCTAATCACTGTTTGAGGCCGCGGCAACTTTAGTATATTTGTCAAAATCTTTGATGCTTATAACTGGAAAATAATTGAAAGATTAAAACACTGGGGGTAAGGGGCATAGTTCAGTGGTGCTGTGGTTGCCTGCTGTGCATAAGGCTATGGGCTACCAGGAGAAGTAGCCAGCCTCCTTCGAACCCTCAGAACTAAGGAGATCAGCTTAGATAACGGGGCTGTAGATGTAGTTCAGCAGTTAAAAGCACCTGTTGCTCTCGCAGAGGATCCTGCAGGCATGCACATGGAGCACATACATGGATGCAGGCAAAAAGTCATACACTTAAGGTGAATAAATCTTCCAAAGAAGACCATCAGTGTGAATTGTCTGTTTGAAACAGTCTCATTGTATAGTCAAGGCTGGCCTAAAACTCCTGTTCTTTCTGTATCTGCCTCCCAAGCACTGAAATCATACCCAGAAATATGAATACTTTTTAAAATAACACTTAAATTTTAAAAAGATTTCATTTGTTTGAGACAAGATTTCTCTATGTAGTCCAGGTTGTTCTAGAACTCACAGAGATCCGCCTGCCTCTGTCTTCTGAGTGCTAGGATTAAAGAAAGACATGCTTCACCATGCGTGTCTAAATATCACCTGAAACTCTCAGGCCAGAAGCTGTGGTGCACGCCTTTAACCACAGCACTGGGGACACAGAGACAGGCAGATCTCTGTGAGTTCAAAGCTAGGCTGCATAGTGAGTCCAAGGCCTGCTAGCACTGTGCGGTGAAACTGTCTCAAACCAGACAAAAACCTAAACATTTTAATCTATAAAGGTGAACAAAACTAATCTGCCAGCAAGATGGTTCTGCAGGTAAAGGCGCGCTAGCTAGTAACCTGTCTTCCACCGATAATTCCCTTTGCAATCGTATGTATATGAGTGTGTGTGTGTGTATACACATATTTTACTGGGCATGTGTGTGCCACAGCGGCATGTGATGTGACAGCTGGAGGCAGTTCTCTCCTTGTACCACGTGGCTTTCATGAGTCAGTCTCAGGTCGTCGGGCTTATGACCAAGAATCTTTATCCACTGAGTCAAGTCACTAGGCCCAGGTCACTCAAATTTTATTGATGAAGTAGGACTATTTTTCTTTGTGCAATAAATTAATTTCTCAGTCAAATCAAACTTCTTGGATGTTACATAATCCACATGATGATGTCTGGATTAGAAACTCAGCTGTTTAGATAAAATCTATAGTTTGAAAATCAAATAACTCTTCTATGACCATTCATATAATTTATGGGGTTTTTTTTGTTTTGTTTTTTGTTTTTGGTTTTTTTTTTTTTGGTTTTTCGGGATAGGGTTTCTCTGTAGCTTTGGAGCTTGTCCTGGAACTAGCACCTATAGTCCAGGCTGGCCTCAAATTCACAGAGATCTACCTGCCTCTGCCTCCTGAGTGCTGGGATTAAAGGCATGCACCACCGCTGCCCGGCTTATATGTAATTTTTTAAGGTTAGTTTTTTTCTAAAGGAAGGGTTAGGAGAAGATCATGTTTTCCCTCATGTATGGTAAACTGGGCAGAATATGAGGACAGCCCAGAGTCCTTCACTGCGCTCTGTCTCTGTTACCTGTTTTAAATCGTAATGTAGTTAACCCTCTCCTTTTTGAAAACAGGATCTAAACTGAAAATGGATTTTGAATACAGGAAGTTCCAATCTCAGCTTTTCTTGTTCTCTTTGGCTATTCTTCCACTCGACAGACTTTACACATTCCAAGAAGACCCCATCTGTGACTTCCACAGACCGCCAACAAGTCTGAAACTCACGCCAGGGGTTCTGCGGCCTCTTGAGGCATCTCCCTGACGCTGCCATGGCAGTGGGGCAGTGTAACATTAAAAATAGTCCTCATCTGTGTGTAGGCCCCACACAGGCGGAATGTTCCCCACAACGTTAGCAGCTCCTGGAGTTCCGGTCGTGTGCTGACATCTAACTGTGCAGATTTCATAAACCCCAGTGCTGCAAACACATCTCTTCTCCATGAATGGAACCAAACGGGAACATCTGGACATCAGCATCTGGAGTCATAGTGATTAGCTGCATTTTCACCTGGCAGAGAAAAATACCTTTAAGAACAGCTGGAGGGAACTAACTGCCATCTTAACTAGCACTGAGATTTCTCAAATTCCCCCACCAACATTCTGTCTTACAATACAGTGCCATATTTCCAGAGTGAAAGAGCCCTCACACCTGAAGAGTGCCTCCTGCCAGGAATTCCAATGGCGTGTGTATCCAGTGTGTGGATGTGCCAAGACATAAATAACTTATATAAATGCATTAACCTATAGATTTACTAGTTCCCTCGGCATTTTAGTGACAAGAATTGATTGACAGGAAGCACCCAAAGTGTAGCCAGATTCCTGTGAGCAGGTGTGTACCTCGTGACTAGGAGCCAGGACTAGGAACAGAACACCGGAGCCACATCTGATACTGTACAGGCACTAAATATAGCGCTGTAAGGGAAAGGGGAAAAACACACCATCTCTTTCTCACTTAGCTGTGACGCGCTGGGAAGCCAGGCAGCTCTGTTCTTGTTTTCACGGTTGCAGGAGGCCGCTGGGCCACGGCTGTAATCATCAGTGACTGATGGGGGTCTGTGATTTTATTTTTCTTGATTACCCTGTGCTTCTGTGGTTCATTTCACGACCTATTGCAAAGCCAGTATCTCT